CAGAGATTTTATTCTAAATAAACAGCATTGATTTTGGTCTGGGAAAAAAAAACTAAACATAAGCTATAGTACTTTGGAAAAGCTGTTTCTAAAGATAATGGAAATATATTTAAATAGACTTCTTATAAAATTTAAAATACTGTTCTTTATTTATATTTAATACTTTTGAAACTTTCTAATACAGCTACCTTCCATAGTTGGATGGAGTAATAAGAAAAAAAAAACTAAACGTAAGCTATAATACTTTGCAAAAGCTGTTTCTAAAGACAATGGAAATATATTTAAAGAAACCAGACTTCTTGTAAAATTTAAAATACTGTTCTTTATTTATATTTAATACTTTTGAAACTTTCTAATACACCTACCTTCCATAGTTGGATGGAGTAATAACAATCACATTTATTTCGGCCTTTAAAAATGTCGACAAGCTTTTTAAAAATATCTGTTAAAAGCGTTACCAACACCATTTCAGTAAGAATAATTGTAATGGTATGTGGACTACATATAAATAAATTTTCTGTTTCAGGTTTTATAGTAGATTATCTTAATACTCAGTCCCTAATTTTCACTATATTGCTAAAGGAATTATCAGCCTATTACATAGTCAAGAAGAGTGTTAAGAAAAAGACACAAAATCAAAATCAAGATCTACCCAACTTAAATCTGTGTTCTTTCTATAATAGTTTACTGTAATTACAAAATGCATTGGTTCTCTAGTACAATTTACTTTCAACTTTAAAATAAAAAGTTGTAGAATTATTTTAGGGAAAGCATACTTTTACTTACTAAAATTCCAATGATTAAATATAGTACAAGTTCTGTAACTTAACTCACAAAATATAATACCTAGATATCTTAAATGCCCAGAACTTCAAGGACTGTTTAAATACCTAGTAATTTTTTCCCCAGATACCACAAAAACGGAAGTCCGTTTTATACAACTTACCATTTACTTCTCTGCTACAAAACAAAAATAATTTATGAGAATAACAGACTTCTACAGTCAACTTCACTCATAATGAACAACCAGGCATGTTTTATAGTGTTGCAATGATGTGTATTGTAATCAAAATATTTGCAAATCATGGAGTATTTATAGATATAATTTGTTACACAACCACAGATAAAAAGTAAAAAGAGTACAAACTGTGTGAAGAGGAAAAAAAAACAATAATGAAAGGGTTTGATGTTGGTACATGAGTTCCCAATCCAAACAAAAATAAACAGTGTTCTGATTTTAATATGAAACTAATGAACCATGTTCTAGTTACCTTTTACTCGGTTTTATTTCATCTGTGTAGAAAACTCTAAAAAGCATGACTACAAAAGGTAACAGCTACTTCAATTCTAAAATAAAGGGATGATTACTTTTTACTTGATTTAGCAAGACAAGAGTATTGAGATATTTGGTTTACTACAATAAAATACATCACGTAAGGACTCTATTAAAATAAGCAGTTCTAGAAGTATTTTTTTCACCTCAGGTTTCAAATAAGTATAATGATTTGGTAACATTTCTATTTTTAAGCTTAAGAGAAAGTAGTTTAAAACATGATTCATATATGAATTAAGATAATATACAGATTAAAAAGAAATACTTGGTATAAAATACCTATTCATTAAGAATATGATTTTGTAAATAATAAACCAAAAATATTAAGAAACTTCTAAAATTGAAAGATTTCTGTTCAAAGCTTTGTCCAATTTGGGTGATTCTTTTTACCTTACCTTTAAGAAATATTTAAAATATAATAATTTGGAACATGCTATAACCTTTTTATAACCTTTCTTAGGGAACACTGACCCCTAAAGGTTCTAAATTTAAATAAGTTTCATAATATTATAAACTTTACTGCACATCCAGGCTTTATTTATCTACATAATTATAGGTATCTGTACCATGGTGAGTATGTTTATTCATAAATAACATGTGAACTATCTCAATGAACTGTTACGTACTATGAAAAAAGCTATGTTTCTGCTAATATAATTAAAAATGGAAAATTAATAAATATCCAGGAACTTATATATGACAAATAACTATTCAGAGATTTCTGACCTTTTAAAATTCTTATGTATGTGTAGATTTACAAGCAAATGCCAAAAATGGCTAAAGAGTGACAACTCATTCAGCGGGTTCATTAAATTAAGTCCTTGACTATTTTTTTTAAAGAACTCCAGAAAAATATGAAGTTTTCACCTAAGGACAAAACATGAAATCATAAAATTTTGTGATAAATTCTCCCATGATAACACAAGTTTATTCACTCACATTCTTTCCATCATCTTAAAAATTTCACCTCTTTCGGATGCTTTTTAACTACTTAAACTAATTTATAGAAGTCTTTACCCATCCTACCTATCAACAAAGAAAAATGTACATCACAGTCCTCATTAAAGTCTATCTCAATCAAGACTGAAGTCAGAATATTTCATCAATGTCTCTACAAAAAAGGCAGGAAGGAAATAGGCACATCCATATAATGAACTTTCTAAGATAATAACAAGGCATATCTGTCACTTAAAATAATCTAATTTTCTTAAAAAATTAAGATAATATGACAATGGTCTATAAACATTAGAGTAAAATGGAATATTGGAGTAATTTGTATTTTATAATAAAGTCAACAAATGTCGGTATCAAAAAGATGACCATTTGAAATTTTACTGTTTAGATATAACCATTATCATAAAACTCAAGATATACTACATTTACCCATTTAATTTTATGTCTTAATATTTCATTAACAGGAACTTACATGAAGGAGTCTTATTCCCATTTTGGATGTCAATATAAAATGCTTGTAAAAACACAAATATTCCTATGATGTTTCTAGTACTTCCAGTGAGGCCTATATGACTTCTGTAAACTATTTAAGCATCTGATGTCTTCAGTTCTGAAATCTTCCTCTCCATAAGATTCCTAGAGCTTCCACTGCTACCTTTCTTAAAACTTTCCTGGTTATTCTATATTCAAGAAATGTATTTCCTCTATAGTCTCCAGCTCATTACATAAATTCAAAACAATTCCTCAGGCTCTTAAAGATACTTTCATCTTTAACATGAATATGACTTACACAGTAATCAGACTCTCCAGAAAAATGAGCAATGCAGACATCTGTTTCATTCTCTTTCCTTATTCTCATATAGAGTAAGTTAAACTGTTTTATGTTCTTCAAAGTTTGGTTATTTGTAAAAATGAACAAAAACAGCTATGACACATTAGTTCTCAATTTCACATCAAAACAGCCTTATCACAAACTTGAATTAGTATGGATTAAAGTTGTCATGGAAGTCACTACACTATTAACTTTGCATTAAAAACCTTTTAACCAACTTATTTCATGTAAAAGTGTTTTAGTTATCTGGATTTTAACCTCAGAATAAGAAATCGCAGGTCAAATAAAAGAGAAAAGTTGCTAATAGTAGGCAAGTAGTACAAGGAAAATGTCTAACTCAAAAATCAAAACCAAGCACACAAATTAGGGGAAAAGTATATTCAGAAAGCATAGCATCCTTTTAAACTTCAAAAGAAAGTACAGCTGCTAACTTTAGTACAGTGATGACAACCCTCAGAAGTGTCCTTCAATCACCTGAGAAAGGTAACCACGGGGGTGATACACGGTGAAAGGGAGTGCTGCTTGAGGTGGGGGGATTAAAAAGAGAGAGATGCATGCTACGTTAATTTACAGGAAATAAAATGATGTTATGCAATACTATATTAAGAATGACTTACTTCCTAAGGATTCCAAATTTTCAGTATTTTACTGAAAGAGTACTGAAAGAGGTCTCAATAAAAGAAAAAGTCCGAAGATTTGTTTAAACCTCTCTACGGATCCTGCTTTATTAAATGCGAAAGAGGAGAGAAGAAAGGAGAAGAGAGTGAAGTAGAGAAAGAAGAGAGACAAGAGAATGAAAGGAGAAAAGAGAGGAGAAAATACAGAAGAAAGTGGGGAGAAGTGAGAAGGAGAGAGAAGGGAGAGAGGTGAAGGGAGGGGAGAGGTGAAGGAAGAGAGCTGGACATGCTCTACCTATAGAGGCAGAGTCAAGGATGAATGTGCTCCACCTACCTACCTGCCTACCTACTGGTCTCTCTCTCAGTTTGTCTTTCAGACAGTGCATGACACATGACACCCCCCATCCCGTGCTCTGTTATCTCTGCCCCTACCCCCGCCCCCATTCTTAGTGTCTTGGTGTCTTTCTCCATCTTTCTATCCATAAACATATCTGCATTATCTCTGTTGCTCAAAGTTTCTCAGACTCTTCTAGTCCATCATTTGTGACTCTTCCTCTTTCTAGACATTGTCTATATCTTGCTCTCTCTGTTTCTAAGAGTTCATTGCTCTCTCGTACACATTTGTCTATCTTTTCTCTCAACGTGTTTGTACCACTTTTGGTATATTTTATTGAGTATACTGTTTTGGGGGTGTCTGTGTGTTAGGTTGGGCTTTCTCTGCGTATCTGTTTCAGTCTCTCTCTATGTCTGTCTCTTTCTCACTATTTTTATTACCCGATGCCCTTTCTTGTAAGCATTGGTGTATCACATAGTCTGTGTGTTTCTCCATATTTTCATTTAGTATCTCCCTTCCTGTGTCTGTGTCTGTCTCTGTTCTTCCCAAGAGCACCTCTCTCTATGCATCTCTCAGTTATAGGCTCAATCTCCTCTATCACTCTCTGTGTTATGTGTGTTTTCTTTATTCCTTTATGGCTATCTTCTATTTGAATATCTTGTATGAGTCTTTTTCTCTGAGAGAGAGAGACACACACACACAGAGAGAGAGAGAGAGAGAGAGAGAGAGAGAGAGTGTGTGTGTGTGTTTCTTTGTACTTCTTTGGAATGTGGGTCTCTGTATGTGCACAAAAAAAGTGTAGGAGTAAGTGACGCACAAACACGTGCCCTGGTCTGCCTTAAATACATTGCTTTGTACAAACACACTTCGTTCAGTGTCTTGATCTAGCATAATACCTGGGGTTGGTATTAATGCCTAAAAAGTCCTTACCTTTTGACCAGTCTTCCATTTGTACTTCTGTTCTTGTTTGCTCTGGCAATGTCTCTTGCTCTTGCTCCAAGATTTGAAGCTAAATTAAAGCCAAGTCTAGATAAATAAACTTAAAACAATATATCAGGACACACACACCAAAATCTTACTTTAACACAGAATTTATAGGACAAACTTTATTTTTTGAACATTAACAATAGGACAATTAACAGTATATTTTAACAATGAAATCAGTCTTTTTTCCTCATGAAAAGATTCTTTGTTTCACATATATTTAAGTAAATACATTACAGGCTAAGCTTCTAGATATTCTTAATTCTTTGATTAGAAAAATCACTATTTTATTTAACTTAAGTCTTCCCCAACTATAGCAATTTAAGAAAAATCAAAATTTTACTGCTATAAATTTAGACAAAAATTTGTAAATCTGACATTACTATGGTTTAATAAAATTTTTATACTTAAGTAATTTAAGAATGCTGTTCCATTTTTTACAAAAACAAAGACTATCATTAACTTGGGAATTACTGGTATTTCTTTTTTATATTTGTTTTCATTATAAACATGATTAAGCTGTGGCTGTGTAAGGTTTTTTTTTGTTTGTTTTTTTTTGGGGGGGCGGGGGTGACTTTTAAGAAGAATAAAATTAAAGATTTACCTTGCAGCTAGGGCTCCACTTCTTTTAAAAAGTCCTCAAATAAAGCTGTAGTAAGCTTCTCCTTTTCCAATTTTCTCTAAATATGTTGATCTGGAGTTGGCAATCTTTTTCTAAGTTCCTCATTTACTTTTGGATTAGCTGAAAATATAGGAAGTTATTAATATCAAAGAAATATGTTCCAGTCAATGAAGCCATTTCCCTACATATTGCCCAAAAAGGTTAATAATAATTGCAGTCTTTTAATAAGAGATTCATATAGCAAGACATGTAGAAAATACAGTCTTTAATAACCTCTGGAGTATTTTAAAACATGTCTTACAGGACTTAATGTGCTTAGTAATATACTATTTAAAACCATAATTTTATCCCTCTGCAATATACAGTCACTCTTCCTCATCATTTACCCAGCTAATGAATGCCAGCAATTAGTAAAATGTAATCCCATTGCACAATCATTTTAATGCTTTTAGCACTCAGAAAAGTAAACACCAAATTAATACTGCTCAAGCCATATCAGATCCTAGTTGGAAGCAAGCAATTATAGTTCAGCTCCTCAGGTGTAATTAAATGATTGGAATGATTTAGTTCCATAAATGCAAGTTAATTCATAAGCAAGCAACAAATATACTGGGAGTAATTACAAGAAACATTGACAGTCTAAGCAGGGCTAATTCTTTTATGAGCCTGACATAGTAAAATGCTGCCCTCTCCTGGACATACGAGTGAATATCTCAGAACTGAAAACAAAATGCCCAAGATCTCTATATCTAAAAAAACCAAACTTCTAAAAGCCACTAGAAAAATAAAAGTGATCAGCTTTTTAAATTGCTAAATTAAAAGTTAAACATAAAGATTAATCGTCCATAGTTTGTACGCATTTCTGTATTTAATACTTCTCCCAATGAAGCGCTAAATATAAGTTCTAGAACATACCAGATAATTCTTGTATTTCCCATCATGTTTTTGTTTTTTTGAAAGGAAGATCTCTCCAGCAGTGCTGGAGGACCACATGGTGCTGATGATCAAATCCAGGGCTCTTACATGTAAACACGTGTAAAGCAGCCCTTTAAAATAATCTTCTTGACCCAATTATTGTATTTCTAATAAATCAAACCATGTATATACAGTACTGACAGGCTGCAAAGAAACTTTAAGTTCACTGGGACTATCAGGCCAATACCTATATTCTTTTATTGGTAGACTTTAACCGGACTGTTTTACATAATAATTAATTATAACTACTAAAATTTGTAAATCTGATTCAGTATTGCTGTGACCATACATAATGGTTTAAAATAAATGTTTTCAGCAAACATATAATAATCAAACACAATACTGTCATAACCAGTCTTAAAAACATAAAGAAAACATTGGGTACACCAAAAAAAAAAAAAAAGAAAAAAATTAAGACAATCTCAACTTTTCTTAGGTTTAAATAAAAAATTATACATGCATACTATTTAGATGGTTCTTAACTAAACTTTGCATATTAAACTTTCAGAAGCTAATTACCATATATTCAAATTAGACTATAATCAATGAGTTCATGTTAAAAGACATATACTTTTACCACCACACCAAGTAGAACGAACCCTTTGACGTCCTGCAAAATTGAATACATTCTCAAATATTATCAACAGCATGCATGCATTTCAATTCTCCAATAAATGTAAATAATACTGTAGACCAAAATGTGTTTTTATTTTTTTCTTTTGTTTTGGGACCATTGCTGGTCCCCAAATGTCAATTTTTTTTAGAGTTAAATATTACGATAATTTATCTGATAACTGGTGTTGTCCTGGGCTAACTCCTGGCTCTGCACTCAGGAATCACTCCTAGCAGTGCTCAGGGTACCATATGAGATGCCAAAAACTGAATCCAGGTCGGTCACATGCAAGGAAAATGCCCTACCTGCTGTACTATCACTCCAGTCTCTAGATCATAATGTTTAATATTACCAGTATTTGGAGGCGGGGAGGAAGAGAGGGTAAGTGCTTTTCTAATATGTTTTCAAATACATTACAAAAACTGTATTCTAAGTCATATAGTCACATGTATACAAGGAAACAATGTATATAAACAACAAAGCTGTGTAAACAATAAAATCAAAATAACTAAGCTTAAAATGTACAGCACACATCCTCTGCCCTTATTATAACAGTCTTATTTTTCAATTCATATCTTGTACACTGTAAGTTAATTGCTTTTGGAAAGTACTTATTATTCATGTAAAAATTAATGTGCCAATGTGTTTAAATCCTCTTAAATGACCATTCATGCATCTTTCTTCTTTAAGTACCAATGAAATCTGTCAAAAGACATCAATGCAAAATGGTCTTAAAAAAAGTTCTAATAGAGAATCTTTTTCTACTAACATAAGATTTTCATATTCACCAACTTTACTTAAATTCCATTAATTTTTTAAGCTACTTTTAATAAATTCACCAAGTAAAATTTTTAGGCCCCATAGTCTGTCATTTGTGTTCCAGCTGACATTATGAATATTAATAACAGTGTTATCCTGATTAAATAGGCTTCATATGAAATCCCTGTGAATCCTATAGCTCAGACATCTCATTTTTCCAACTCTTTATGAATTTGGATTCAGACATTAAACTGGAAAAATCTTAAAAAACAGATTTAATGGCACATTTGCATATTGTTAAGAAAAAATAGAAGTTCTAATGATTCAGATAATTATAACATACTGTTACTGAAATAGGAGATTTCTACAAACATGCATCATATTTTATATTTCTAATTACTTCAAAGGACAAAGAGCTAATAAAATATGAATTCCTTTTCTTACATTCACCATTCACCATAAAGAATTGACATCAAGAACTTATTTCTGTCAAAAATTCAGATTAGAATGGGATTATTTGGTAGTAGGCATCAAATAAGCTAAGACTTATTTTAAAAATTAACTTGCTATGTCAAAGAAAAAATATTTGTCATTAGTTATATATGTATATAAAAGAATCAAGAAGCAACATAAAATAGATTTCTAATTAAATTCTGTTTCACTGGAAAAATTCAAGTTTAAAAATTGTTCAATATGGACAGAAAATATCCTATTAGCATCTATTCAATTAAAATCTTTTCCATCACAAAGTTCTAACCTCATTCCCTCCACGTAATTTTAATTATCAAATGAAGCGTACTACTACACTGAATGAAACATTAATTTTTCAAAAATCACATACCTCCTCTCTTTAGGTATATGACAATCTAAAAATATCTACTAAGATATTCTACATTCACCCCTATCAAAAAACCGTAGACTGAAAAATTTAAACAAACAACTTTTCGCTCTCAATCGCAACTTGACTCTCCTTGTTTACTCAGCAGTTAAACACTTAATGAAACTTTTTTTTCCTCTGACCAGTCTAAAATTTCTAGTCTGCCTAAAAGTTACAAGTAATTCTAACATTTATTCTTTAAAATTAGACAATGCCTTTGAGACAGAATCGATTTCATTCCCCAATGCAGTAACACCAGGATTCTGAACATTTAAAACAGGAGATGCCACTCTCCCTACCGTTCTCCTTTCTTCCACAAAAGCCATATCATGGCAGAGTTTTTCTGGCAACTGGTGAACATTACTTTTTGCCCCATAATGCACCTTGATTTAATCACAAATTTGTGTACACTCAATATTAAATTAGGAGTAATTTAGAATGCCACCTCATATGTCACTGTAAATTCATAAGACATCAATTCTACACTTCCTCGACTGAGAAATGTCGATGATTTGTATTGAAAGTATTTAAAAGGCCAAAAGAGTATACCATATTTCTGAGAGTCAAGTATTTTATCATATAACTCAACATATACAATATAAGTGTTCTATAGCTGGATTTTCCTTAAGTCTTTCAAAACTGAGTCCCTGGCACATTCTCTTTCCTAAAAGAAATTCTTTCACTTACTGTGCTTCACATTACAGCCTACTTGAGCACCAGAAAACTCAAGTTCCTTAGAACCTGGGAAAGCAAGGAGAGGCTTAGGAGAAAAGTATGAGATAAACAAGGTCACATACTAGAGTTATCAAATTTTAAAATGCATATTCTATTTGAACCCACAGTTCTACTACCAACGTAGTATTTAGAAAAAAAGTGTAAGTAATATCTCATCTTTCTGTACAAAGAAGCAGTATTTATTTGTAAGAATAATTCTAGTTGTGATGGATTTTTTTCCTTTCCCCGAACTTATGAACTCTTTAAATTTCCAAATCACTTTTTATCATTAGATCTTGTTCAAAACTCACATCCCCAAAAGTTTTTAAGGAATAGCCCATTCAAAGCAAAAACTCTCATTAGGTTATGTACCCATGCTATTATTTCACACAAAATAATATTTGATTTATTTAACTGTTTTTGTTCATTCTTCTTTTAGGAGACTTGGGGAACACATCTGGTTGTGCTCAGGGGCTACTCCCATCTCTGTGCCTGGGGATTGCTCCTGGTGGTGCTCAGGGGACCAGAGACTAAGCCCTGGCCTGATGCATTGAATTATCTCTCTAGTACCTTATTTATTTGTTTTAAATATATCTCAGTCAATCATGTATATATGTGCATAATATGAAGACAGGTCTTTCTTTTTCTCCATCTGTATCCTTAAAAAAGTGATTGGCATACAGTAATGTATTTTCATAGACAGATAGGTGGACGGAATACTTAGCAGGAAAATAGATATACTACAAATGTTTATCAATAACAAAGGTCAAATAAGCTGTGATATAAACATACAGAATATAAATTTTGAACCACAAAGAGAAAAAAATAATATATACTATATGTGGGAGATTCAGTCAACAAATATATAAGTACCTATTAAGTGTCACACACTGCTCTAGGAGTAAAAATAATGAATAAGAAATTTCATACCCAAAAATATCATTAGATAAAATACACAAGTGTAGAATTAGATTAAAATATAAGAAAAAGTTAAATTACATATATATGCAATAATCTTTAAAAAGTATCATGTTTCTATTTTTCTGCAAGAAAAAATTACCTATGGCTATCCGAAAAAAAAAAAGGCCCAAGATTTGAGAAGGGAGAGTAAGGATAAAGAAAATGTTTATGCTTCACCTTATATCCATCTGCATGACTTTTTCACTGGCTAGCAATTTAACT